GGGGCGGTGGCCTGCTGGTTGCCTGCTGCGGCGGTGGCCTGCTGGTTGTCCGATGCGGTGGCGGTGGCCTGCTGACTGCTTGCTGCTGTGGCGGTGGCCTGCTGGTCGCCTGCTGACGTGGCGGAGGACTGCTGCGGCATGCTGATCAGCTCATCCAGCGACGGGCGATCGGCGCGCTGAGGATTGGAGGATTCCCAATACGTCCACGCCTGCTCGAATCTAGATTGGTATCCTGCCTTCATGTCCGCTGGCCCTTTGATTGGGCTGGCGGCGTGGTGCAATTGAAATTGCCCAAGCCCAATCGAGCACCCGATGTAACCCGAAACGTTAAACCATATTTGTAATATGAAACGTTGTTTCGGGCATGGCGGTTCTGCCAGAGGCTGATAGCTACAAGTACTCGACCCTCCTGCTGGCATGGTTGTAGCGCACCCAAGCCCCTCCGAGCTTGGCACGCGCCGCAGCGATATTGATCGCCGCCTGAAGCCCCGTCCTCGTCACCCCGTGGGAACTTTCAAGGCCAGCGATGCGTTCGAATGGTTCATATACGCCCCATTCGGTGTCAGCCTCCGTGATGCTCTTGCTGCGTTTCCTCTGGAATCCGCACAAACAAAAAAAGGGCAGATAGCAGGTCGAGGATGAGAAAGGGAGGAGCAAGGTGATGATGCGGCGAGCACCGAAGTCAGTGATGGGAAGCAGCGGCTAGGGAGGTGGAGGAGGAGGAGATGGAGGACCAAAGGAAATGGAGGGAGAGAAAGGAAGTGGGGGAGACGGATAACGTGGGCCTCATGGAGGCCCGCGATGGGGCTTGCCCTACCTCTGCAATCCCGTTGTTACTGTTGCCCTACTATACGGCCCCCTCCTCATCATCCTCCTCCTCCTCCTCTTCCTCCTCCTCCTCCTCCTCCTCCTCTTCCTCCTCCTCCTCCTCCTCCTCCTCCTCCGCCAGCTCTCATCCTCATCCCCCTTATCCTCCTCTCATCCTCGTCCTCCTCTCCTCCTCCTCCTCCTCCTCCTCCTCCTCCCCCTCCTCCTCCTCCTCCTCCTCCTCCTCCTCCTTCTCCTCCACCTCCTCTCTCATCCTCCTCTCTCATCCTCCTCCTCTCTCTCTCTCTCTCGCTCTCTCTCTCTCTCTCTCTCTCTCTCTCCTCTCTCTCTCTCTCTCTCTCTCTCTCTCTCTCTCGCTCTCTCTCGCTGTCTCGTTTCCTGCTCCTCCTCCTCCTCCTCCTCCTCCTCCTCCTCCTCCTCCTCCTCCTCCCCCCACTCCTCATCCTCCTCTTCATCATCATCCCCCTCCACCTCCCCGTGGATTAACACTAATGTTGTTGTTATCACAGGGGTCCTCTGGGACTCGTAAACCTCAAACTTTTTCGTCAACCAGTCCATGCGAAAGGCCTCCTTGGCCGACGACGAGACACAGGCCTTGTATTTCCGTTTCAGCTCCGCGTCCCCCTTCATTGCGCGGTCGAGACGCTGGGCCAGCGGCCCCCTGGCGCCGCCGCTGTGCCTTATGGGGTCAATGCCCAGGGGGGGCGCTCCATCCTCCTGCTTCTCCTTGCCCCCTCATCCTCCTCCTCCCCCTCCTCGCTCTCCTCCTCTTCCTCCGCCTCGTCGGCCCCCTCCGCCACCTCCTCCTCCTCCTCCTCCTCCTCCTCATCCTCCTCTCCCTCCTCCTGATTGTCGTCGTCCTCTTCCTCCTCCTCATCTTCCTTCTCATCTGCCCCCTATCGGCATCTTGCTGAACTCAAGGGGATCAAGCCAAGTGCGCCCCAGAACCTGAAACCACTTGCAACCGCTGGGCGAAAGCACGAGGATCACAACTAACCCCGGGACCCGAATCAAAACATTGAGGCGCCGCAGGAAGAGGGGGGCGTCCAAAGGACGCGGAAATTGAGGGGGTTAGGTAGTCCGCCATTGCACCGTTCGGCCATGGCTTTCTCGAGGATCGGGTCCTTGTTGGGATCGTCCTGGCCGGCCTCGCCGCCCCCTGGGGGCGGCCCTCGGGGGGGGGGGGGGGGGGGGGGGGCCAAACAACGACGCGAGCGAGGGCAGGGTTATACCCGTAAGACCCAGTTCCAAACATACCCCCAAGGAGGATTAAATGTCATAGAGTAACACTGAGCGTGGCGTTTGGCGCCTCTCGATCCTGGCGCTGGCGGGGCGGCGCGCTTCTCATTCGACCAGAAAGCTGCCATCTTGGTCTCGAGCTGCATGACCAAAGGGTTCTCTGGATCGGGCACCTGCGGCAAGGAGCCGCTCATCGCCTGGGGGGTCACCTCGACTTGCTCGGAGACCACCGTTTGCTGGGAGCAGACCACTTGCTGGGATACCTCCACCTGCTCGGAGATGCCGACGTGCTGAGCGGGCGTGTCGGGCTCCGCCGAGCCCGCAACCTGCGAGCACCCCAAGGGGAGCTGGCTGCCAGTCCCAAACGGTTCAGGTAGCGAGTCGGGCTGCGAGGATGGCGGCTCCACAGGACTGCGCAGGCCGACCGCAGCCTGCGCTGCTGGCGGCTCTGAGGCGGCAGGACTGACAGCAGCCTGCGAGGCTGAAGGGTCCAAGGCAGTAGAGGCGGCTGCCCCAGCCGAGGCCGCCGACTGGCTGGTCGTGCTGATCAGCGCATTCACGATTTTTGTCGCTGCCAAGAGGTCGACGGCCGTCAGGTCACCCGATGGGGCCTCCATAGTCTTCTTCAAATCCGCGAGCACGCCCATCAACGTCTCGTTGGCTTGCTTCTGCGTCTCCACGCAGGTCACTTGCGTCACTGCGGGCGCCTCCGCTGGCACTGCGGGCGCCTCCGCTGGCACTGCGGGCGCCTCTGCTGGCACTGCGGGCACCTCCGCTGGCACTGCGGGCGCCTCCGCTGGCACTGGGGTGCCAGGGGCTGTCGGCGTGCCCTCCGCGACTGTGTCCGAGCTGAGGCTATCTCCGATCATCGCGATCTCACCTGCAGGCTCGCCCAACTTCATTGCGACTTGGGGCTCGTCGCGGGAGGGCGCATCGTTGGGGCTGCTGAATCCACTGTCATGGGCACCGCGCTGCTGCTGTGGCGTACGGTACCCCGTCGTAGGCGTAGGGGCGTTCCGCTTCTCGAAATCGGCCAGGGTTGGACAGCGACCCAAGTCGGTGGGCACCATGATGTCGGCAAACGATGCGTGCTAAATCAACGAGTGCTGTCGTGCTTCTGAATCCAGGGTCCCCGTCTTGAGCCAAAACGGCAACAGGTGCAACGCAAGAATGGGCATCGTGCTGCAACGCCCTTCAGGCACCTTGTGGAGGCCGCTATGAGCCCCGCAGGGCGGGCCCAAGATGAAAAGTTTTGCAGTGGGCCGACGGAGCGCAGTCGGAGGCACTTTCGGGCGCGGCAGCGATAACAACCCAACATTGCAGCACGATTCCCAAACGCATATCCGAACACCGTCTGAGCACGGTTGCAGTTCTCTTCCTTACCACCGTATATGATCATCCTCCTCAGATTACTCATCACCCTCCTCCGCCTCTCCTCACCTCCTCGTCCTCCTCCTCGTCCTCGTCCTCCTCCTCCTCCTCTTCGTCATCTTCCTCATCCTCGTGATCATCGCCCTTATTTTCTCATTGGCCCAACCTCTTACCAAGACGGCCGTAGGTTGAGTTCTATCGTGATTGCTGGTGCTGTTGAGCGTCCCTGACAGTTTCTCCCCTTTTATTTTCACCTAGCTTCACCTGCCCCCTCCTCTCCTCCCTCGCACAACCTCTGATTGCTGGTCTCCAGCCCCGACGGCCAGTCGCGAGCCCCCGACGCGACGTCGGCAAATTCGAAGTGGGAAAATCTTATAGGGCCCAAGTGCCTACGGGGGTTCGCTGAAACCTCATTGGGTTCATTGTTTTTTTCATTGGTTCTTCATTGTTTTTTTTCATTGATTTTTCATCGGCACCCTGGCCCCGGACATCAGAAGCCGCGAAACCAAGCGGACAGTAGAAGAAATCAGGAGGGGGGCAGAGGGGGAGGAGGAGGAGGAGGAGGAGGAGGAGGAGGAGGAGGAGGAGGAGGAGGAGGAGGAGGGGGAGGAAGAGGGGGAGGAGGAGGAGGAGCAGGGGGGAGAAGGAGGAGATGATGGACGAGGACGGCTCGAGCTCTTCAAGCCAAGGCCTACTCGTCCTCGCCGCTGTCGTCGGCCGCCAGGCGCTGCGCCGCAGCGGCGCCCAGGCCCACCGGAGGGCAGCCTGGCCCGCAGGCGTCCATGCCCAGGCCGCTCGCCAGGTTCTGGCCGAACCTTGTGCTCATGAGCAGCGTCAGCCCCGACATCTCGCCTGAGGCTGGGCTGGGCGTCGCCTGAGGCTGGGCTGGGCAGGGCGTCGCCTGAGGCTGGGCTGGGCTGGGCGTCGCCTAAAGCTGGGCTGGGATCGACGTCGCCGCGAGCATCTCGCGGGGCTCCTCCTGGTTGGCCACCTTGTCGAGCTTCAGGCGCTTGGAGTCTGGCGTGACGTCGGGGGACTTCACGGTCCTGCGAACTCTCGGTGCTTTCTGCTCCTCCTGCTCCTGCTTGCTCGTATCATCAGGCTCGTCGTAGTCGCTGCCGCCGCCAGCGTCCGACTCTGCCGCAGCTTCGCCACGATCGTCGAGTTCTGCAGGAGCTGGTGCAGCCGCTGGACGCTTCATGACCGCTGGAGTCTGGGCCCCGTCAGTGTCCCTGCTAAGCTCCTTCACCTTCTCGGTTTTCACAATCATGGCCTCTGACTTGGTGGTGATGCGGCGGTCTGCAAACATCTTGACGAGAGAACCTGCCCACTCGAACGTCTTGGATTCGTCTCCACAGAAGTTAGCGCAGTTCATCTGCGTCATCTGCTCAGGACATGCACCAGGGGCCTGCTTCACGATGATGACCAGCCTCTGAGGTTCTTTCCCTGCCACCCTATGATTTTTCATCTTGGCGTAGATCACGTGGCCGTCGTTCGGGCCCCCATGGATTGTGGTGTGGAACTGCATCGCGTGCTTCTCTTTCGCACCCGTCGGCGTAGTATCAGGCGTGATGGGAGGCATCATGTACCCACGAGCACCCGTCGGACCACGTGACAGTGACCTTGTTGTTCTTGTCAGGCTCGCTCTGGGTTTCGGCGTACTCCGCCAAGGCCTTCGGTCTGCTGATCGGGAGCCGATATGCTTTGTTCTTATGCTCGTCGATCCTGAAAATCCATGCCGCTGCAGCCGCCTCTGAAGCACCACCTCCGCTGCAGCTCGAACCTGGGGCAGCGCCCTCTGATGGCCCGCCGCCGTCGCCTCCTGGAATAGTGATGCCATGCTCCTGAGGTTCCAAGGAAACAGTAGGAGCAATAACACTGAGACGTGGAGGATGAGACGACTGGAGAGGGCTACATGATAATATTGTGTTGGTGGTGCCGATCCTCAGCTGCGACCTGGAACCACTTCGGCACCTTCGCGCGGCCGAGGACCTTGTGCACGTGCTGGCACATCGTCCGCACGCGCCCGCTGTACTCGGTAGCCCAAACAGATTTTGCTTTGGGGTTGAGCTTCCAACTGTCGCGATGTTCTGCAGCGATCGTCGCCAGCGCCATGATAGTGGCCAGCTTCCCGAGGCACGCCGAAGGGTGAACCTCACTGAGGATCGCCGATATCATCTTCATGTTCTTCACAATGGCATCCTTGTTCGTCGAGGCGCTATCGCCCTTCACGTGCTTGTTGGGATAGGCCAGGAAGTCCCGCTCCGTGACGAACCGCTTCAGCACCTGCGGGGCGATCGAAACAAAAAAAGGGGGAAGACTGGGGGGAATGATAAGGGGTAGGAGGAGGAGTGGTAGGAGGAGGAGGAGCTGGAGAAAGAGGAGGAGTAGGAGTAGGAGGATGGGGAAGAGGAGAAAGGGGAAGAGGGAGAGGAACAGCAGCATCAGCATCAGCAGCAGGGCGCAGTGAGCAAGACGTTGGAAGAGTTCACGTGCACTCGAGAGAGAGAGAGAGAGAGAGAGAGAAACAAAAAACAACTAAACACCTAAAAAATAACAGGCGGCACAGGAAAGGGCACAGGGCAGGAGTTGCGGGGAGGAGGGGAGAAGGAGGAGAAGGAGGAGGAGGAGGAGGAGGAGGAGGAGGAGGAGGAGGGGGAGGAGGAGGAGGAGGAGGAGGAGGAGGAGGAGGAGGAGGAGGGAGGAGGAGGAGGAGGAGGAGGAGGAGGAGGAGGAGGAGGAGGAGGATTGGAGTTTGTTCGACATCCAACCTGGCAGATCACGTCCGCCTCGTGGCACGTGGGCGGGCCCTCGCCGTCGTTCTCGGCGCCCCCGTCCTCGTCGTCGTCGTCGGCGGGCTCCTTCTGGCTGGCGCCCTTGGAGCCCTTTGGGGCCATGGGCTGGCCTCTCGGGCCAATCCGAGCGCAGTGGCCAAGCCGACACAGGCCCCCTCGGGCCCGCGGCTGCAGACGGCGCAACAGGAGGGGATGAAAGAACAAGGAACCTCAATTACACACCAACGCGGAACCTCAATTACACACCAACGCAGACGGCACAACAGGTGGGGTCCTTACACGACCTCTCGGGAACGTGAGCCGACGGAAACCGAGCCATGTCGTCGGTCATGCACCCCTTCCCTTTGATCCTTTCCCTGGCGCAGTGGGTGGGCGGCGGTGGCGGGGCGAGGGGGTATTGAAGGCAAATTATTTCTGACACCCTCCGAACAAAGGCATTACTCACACCGGAACACAAATCCGCTTGCAAACCCTGCGCGGGCGAATGGCGCGTTAGCTCGCCCGCCAGCCCGATCGAGGGCTATACAAGCGCGTTCACCGCACGACCCGCTCCCGCGGGCACCAGGCCGTCACATGTTTCTCCACAACGAAACTCTACCCTATTTTAAGACATCATGATCAATTCATCGCTTTTGTGATATGAATAAAAAATCATCCCTTTTATCATATCGAACATAAAAACGTCATGCTGCAACATGGTAATAGCAACCAGCCAAAACGTAGCAAACAAATAACGTTCGATTGCGACGTTTTTGCTGGCTGATATTACCATGTTACACCATGATGTTTTTATGCTTGATATGGTAAAAGGGATGATTTTTTATTCATATCACAAAAGGGATGGGTTTATCATGATGTATTAAAAAGGGTAGATTTTAGTTGTGGAGAAAAATGAGGGATGCTTTTCTGAACCCAAAGACCCCCAGGGTAGTAGTAGTAGTAGTAGTAGTAGTAGTAGTAGTAGTAGTAGTAGTAGTAGTAGTAGTAGTAGCAGTAGTAGTAGTAGTGGTGGTAGTAGTAGTAGCAGCAGCAGCAGTAGTAGTAGTAGTAGTAGTAGTAGTAGTAGTAGTAGTAGTAGTAGTAGTAGTAGTAGTAGTAGTAGTAGTGGGAGGAGGAGGAGGAGGAGGAGGAGGAGGAGGAGGAGGAGGAGGAGGAGGAGGAGGAGGAGGAGGAGGAGCGAGGAGGAGCGAGAGGAGGAGGAGGAGGAGGAGGAGGAGGAGGAGGAGGAGGAGGACAGGCGAAGAGGGTACTCCCACCAGCCCTCAGGGCCTCAGAGGTTTAGCGAGGCGCCTCTTGCAGCCCTCTTCTCCCCCTTCCGAGAAGGTACACCCCCTCACCCTGCCGGTCTGCTTGGAGCTCGAGATGGCCGCGCGCCTGGGCTTCGACTCGGTGCTGCTTCGCCGTGCTGCACCAGGTGGGACCGAAAACGGTGGAAGGCTTCGCGGAGAGAAAAACAATAAGATGGCCCTGGCTAGTTCCGAAAAGGCAAGAGATGGTCTCCAGCATGTCGCCGCGAGGCCCCCAGGCCGCCACAAGATGGCTCGAGCCAGGCCGCGGCAAACTTCAACGGGCCGGGCGCTGGTGAAAACCCGACCGTGCTCGATCGGGCCCTTTGGTCTCAAGCAGCACGCGCGTGTCCCATCCTTTGCCCCCGCGCCGCCGCTGTGCACGGGCAGAGGTGCGACCCCACTGAAGGCGGCGCACCACTTGCTTCCCCGCTCCCCTGCCCACGCAGCACGCAGCGGGGACGCCGCGGGGACTCGCGGGGACCGCGGGGGCGCCCTGTGGCATGGGCGCCGCGCCCTGACAGGAGGCACTCCTCTGGCCGAGCGCCCAAGACCAGCGACTGGCTCCTGTTTGGGGGAACAAGGCGATGCCGATACCGCCCGCTCGGGCGTTGCTCAAAGGGGGCGCGCGAACGGACCATGCTGCTCCCATGCGGCATTCCTAGCTTCATCCCTGCGGCCGCTCGGCGCTTTCGCCTTCTCGCTGACTGACTTCGCTCGGTGCAGGCCTCGTCGTCTTTCGTAACTAACTTGTCGGGTCCGAAATTCGCCGTCTTCTGAATTTCGCTTTCACGTGTCGCTGGGACAATCAATTAGAGACCTGTAGGGTTGTAGAAGGAGAAGCCGGCGCCGCAAGGTAGCCCTGGAGCTCGTTCCGGCTTCAGTGAGAAATCCCAGGCGGGGCCATTCCGAGTTCGCAGCGTGTCCCGGCAGGCCTTCCCTGAGCGTTTCTCAACACGCCTGCCCAGAAACTCTCCAGAAACTCCTTCGGAAGCTCTTCCCGGGAGCTTCCAGAGCTCCTTCGAGAGGCCTTTGCACGACCTTCTGTCAAGGGGCCCACGCACACACAAATACACACAAATAACAGGATTCCCAATATTTTCTCGTATGTTATGGGTTTTTCTCTTCCCCCCCACTTCCCATATTTTCCCATATTTTCTAAGGAATCGACGATTCATTGTGTCTGTGTGTTTCTTTCCCTCCTGATTCTGGCGCTCCGCTATCGGGGTTCTTGGGTTCCACTGGTGGGGGGGCGCAGAAGCATGCACCTGTCGTTCCCCCTGTGGATCCCAGGGGGAGGGCCCCTGAGGTGCACAGAAGGTGCACCTCTCGTCGCCCCCCCCATTGATCGCCACCCATGGCGCAACGCCCGATACCGCGACTCCCCGGACCTCTCCGAGTGTGTTACGCTCTGGCACGAACTTCGAGGGTAACCCAGCCCTGATGACGAGGGCTCACCAGGACAACCAGCACTCGGTAACCGGCGATCGGGCTGCAGTCGAGGTGTCGCGGGGGCTCTGTATCACTGCAGGGGCGCGCAGGGTCGCCGCTGATTCATTGCGATGAGACAAAGGATCAGCAGGACGTGAAATCTTAAATTGCCCAGGAGGAAAAGGATGATGATGATGATGATGATGATGATGATGATGATGATGATGATGATGATGATGATGATGATGATGATGATGAGGAAGACCAGTGAAAACCCGAGACGCATCAACGATACTGCAACGAACCCTCCCTCCGAGTTCCTTCGTCATAGATCCCTGTAAGAAGTCATTTTCATTGGAGGAAGTGCCCCGTTGGAAGACAACCGTTGGAAAATTCGGAACTGCGCCAAAACACCATCCCTGGGACTTCAACGCCGCGAATCACCGTTACTGTTGTGTTATGACGATCCGGAATCGCGCCGGAACGCACTTCCTGGGACGTAGACGCCGCGAATCAACGTGACTACTGCGCCGTGACACTTTGACATCGGGCCAAAACGCATCGATGCACCATTTCTGGTACCGTGACCACAGCCGTTGAAACGGTTGCAACCCCCTCAGACGAATGTGTGTGGCGCTCGGGCGAGGAACAACATTCTGAAAAAGAGCCGGCCTCCACCAGCGAAGCTCTTGCAAGCTTTGATGACGGACGTGCGCGGCGCTGTGGCGAGAGCCGCGTTTTGAAGACGGGTCGCCCTACGTCCGTGAGGCCCCTGCAAATTCGTTAGAGCGAATGTGCGCGGGCGCCAAAACGAAAACCGCATTTCGGAAACGGCCCAGCCACATTTTGCAAACGTCCAGCCCTCCATCCGTGAAGCTCATGCAGATGTTTTGAAGGAGTGTGTGCGGCGCTAGGACGGGAGCCACAATTCGAAAGCGACCCGCCCTCCATCCGTGATTCGCAATTTCCAAGCTTCAGGGTCGTAAACGGTGCGAAAGCCTCAGGCGGAACGGCTGGCCCGCTGGCCCGCCCTCTCGACCAGCCTCGGGGTGCCACAGGGAGGAAGTATCGGCAAGGAAGAGGAATGGAGAAGAGCAGAAGAACAAAAACGCCACATAGAGCGTTTCTTATTCGGCGTTTCGACAGCGGGCGGAAGGAGGGGGAGGAGGGGGTCTGGCTCTGGACCTCCGCCTGATCCCACTGTTTGCAACAGTGCCCGAAACAGGCGCCCAAAACAGCCAAGATCTACTAATACTCCATGGGGGGTAGGGGAGGTGCGAGGGCCCGCGCCGGTCGGCAGGACGATGAAGAAGAAAACGATCGCGTGCACATGACCTTTTGGCGCTCCGCGCGGATTTCTTGGATCTGCGCTGGACCCCGTCCCTGGCGCGCGGAGCGCGCCAGGGGCGGCGCTAGAGGCGCCGCCAGGGGGGCCCCAGCGCAGATCCAAGAAATCCGCGCGGAGCGCCAAAAGTCAATGTTTACGGCATTTTTTAAATTCGAGGGAAGGAGAAGGAGGAGGAGAGGCATCGGTATCTTTCCCTCCTCTGAGTGCTTCTTGATTTGCTCGCTCCCAGGCGCCGCGGCAGCTGCGGCAGCGCCGTCGCGGGCGGCGTCTCGTCGGGGGGAGGCACTGCCGCTGGGGGCGGCGCCGACGAAGCCTGCGACGGCTCGGGGGGGCTCGGCAGTGTCCCCAGCCTCGCCAGCAGGGACTCCACGCTCTGCTCAACCTCCTTTGGGATGCAACAGGACGTACTACTACCCTCGTCAAAATTCACCTCAAAAATGGCGACCACGCCCCTGCGATGCCGGCGCGCCCCTAAATGTCGATAGACGCCCCTCCAATGTCGGGGCCAGGGCACAAAAGTTGTCTGACCGGGTACGACTCGGAAGTTCGATGATGACCGGCACTGGAGGGGCGGCGCATACGAGTGCCTCGCAGTCACCGCTACTCTGCCCAGAATCTCCCCACAAACAGTTCAGCCACGTAAAACAAGTTGGAGGTCAATTTTGACGAGGGTAGCAGTACGATGTGCCCTCTTGGGAGGCGTGCGTTCGACCAGCTCATGTAGCACAGCCTCTTGCAATCTATCGCTGCCCCAGCGGTGCGGCCAGAGCGCGCCCGCCACCGAGCACAGGTACACCACAAGATCTCTGAGCGGCCGCGTCGCACATCCGGGGGGGATGCGCACGCAGGCTGGGGCAACCATCTTCGCGCTTCGCGCTCCGCCAAGCGCGATAAGCGTCGCGCTTTCGCGCCGCCTCCCCCGTGAACGCGATGAGGGACTCGCGCCTGGCTCTGACATCGCCCAGACCGCGACGCGCGGAGCGTGACGAACTTCGCGCCCTCGGGGTGGCCCTAGCCTCAGGTAGGGCATGTCCTCCTGCAGGCGGATGTTGGAAGAAAGATGAAACATAGTCAAACAAATGCGCAAGAATGGTCCAAATAGTCGAAATATCGTCCCCAGACTACGTCTTGACTATTCTTGAATGTTCCTCCAGTGGAGGGACATGCCCGGCTTAACCCTGGAATGTGTAGGAGAAGCATGTCCGGGTGAAGCCGATCCTTCTGGCGCTTGATGGTCTGCGCGAAGCTCACCTCTCGGGGGGGCACAGAGGGTGGGGCAGGGGCAGACGGTGGGGCTGGAAGGACAACCGCTCCGGACGGCCCCTGGAAGAAAGACACGCGTCACACTCGGCGGTGGACAAACCTCCCGCCCGCCGCCCTTCCGCCCGCGGGTGGACAAACCTCCCTCTCGTAAACCTCCCTTGAGCGACATGGCCTATAGGACCGCAACTCTCGGGGGCACACCTCTTGCTTCCGCCGCCGCCCCTCCGCCCCGGATGGGGCGGCCTCGTTTTCCTCCCGCCGTCCTCCCGCCGCCCTCCCGCCGCGGAAGAGATGGCAACTCCTTCGATCCTCGAATGACTACCTACCAGACCACCCCAACCCAACCCGAAGACCCGAATTTGACCCGAATTTCGGGTTGGGGGGGGTACGGGTTCCATGTGTTTTTCCAACGTTCCCCGACCCCCCCCCCACTGGAAATCGAGGATACATTTGGACCTTCGGGTTGGGTTGGGGTGGTTTGGTGGGTGGTGATCGAAGGCAGAGCTGTTTTTGGAACGCCCCAGGTGATGAACCAAAAGAGGATGCCGACCCCTTTGAGAGGGGACCGACGTTAGGAGGGCTAACAGCACTGGGGATATCGGGCGGGTTCTGCAGGAGCGCTGTGGTCCCTCATGCGAAGACGGGGACCCAAATGGGGCACGTCTTCACTATGTTATCAAGGTTAGGGGTCCTTTTGTCCTCGATGATTGGAGGGCAGAGAACCCACTCTCAGAATCAGCACCCGACGAGCAAAGCCGTTTAGTAAGCGCACCCCGGGAAGCAATCGAACAGGGCAGGACCGTTTCGTAAGCGCCCAGGGCCGTTCAGTACACGCCAGTAATCTTTTTTTTTGTGGTCGGGTCGGCGTGGTTGTCCTCCCTTGAAGCATGGCGGCATCAATACGGTCCCGGCGACACGGTACGCCTTGCGAGCGGATCGCGTGTCGCTCTCCTCCGCGGGGCGGGAGGCGGGGAACCGCTCGGGACGTTGTCGCTGGGGACTGGGGCGTGGATAGCGTGTTGCACCGAGACGTGGTGGGCCAGAACCGGTGGAGCGACACGCTATCCCAAAGTTCCCGACTGCATCACACGCAAAACAGAATGGCGCATTGGCGCGATAGCCTTTCGGGAAACTGGGGTGAGGCACAGGCCCAGCCGCAAGAGCCAATCAAAGTCACCAGCCAACAGTCAACAGTCAGGAGGGAGGGGCGGGACGTCTTGAATGTTTTGGTGCGGGGCTGTCGTAAGCAGCGGGTCAAAAGGCATCGTCGTTACCCTTGCTCCCCCAACGTGCTCCCTGTCACGACCAATCACGTCCCCCAGAGGCCCTCGAGGGCCCCCGGGTGGCCAGGCTCGCCCAGCGAACTCGACCATCGATCCTCGAACTGCTGCCTGCCAGCGTTGGCCCCGCCCCTTGGGGGGCGGAAAGATACGGATACGTGTTGTCCCTGGACCTCTCTTGGGGTGCGTTCTGACCAGAATTTCGAGGCGAATCCAGCGGTGACAACGAGGATTCCCCAGGAGGACCAGGAAAGGCCGAAAACGAAGGGGGACAACACGTATCCGTATCTTCTTCTCCCCCGAGGCCCCGAGCCTTGTTCATCTCGAGCTCGTGCTTCTCGCGGGCCCACGAGGCCGCCGACTTCGCCCCGCCGGCCACCCTGCCGAGAGCACCGGGCCACGCCTGCGACGCCTGCGCGCCCCTCGCCGCGAGCACGGGCGTGCCGGGCTCCTCCGGATGCCGGCTTGGGGCAGGATGCCCCTGTTCGTTCGCCCTCCTCCTCCCTCCTCCTCCCTCTCCTCCTCTGCCCTCCTCCTCCTCCCTCCTCCTCCTCTACTCCTCCTCACCGGCCATGGCGGCGGCCATGACCGATGCCGAGGGGGCGAGTGAGCTTGAGCCCGCCCGAGACGCCAGCCCAGGCGCCTCGCCGGGGACGTCCCCGCGGACGCGGCCTCAGACGACTGTGATCCGTGGGTCGGGCCTCCAGCGTCCCTGACTCTGGATCCGTCGCACTCCTCCTCCTCTGCTCCTCCTCCTCCCTCCTCCTCCTCCTCCTCCTCCTCCTCCTCCTCCTCCTCCTCCGCGCTAGTACGGGCTCTTCGACCCCAGGGCGAGCGGAGAAAATGCACCTCGCGACTGGGGCGGGTGCGCCCTGGCTTCCCCAAAGCAGGGCCCTCTACCAAACGGAACACCCACCCTGCAGAGAGCTCCGGGGAAACGTTGAGATCACGGGGAAATCAACACAGTCACACTCCAAAATCATCAAAAACGGCGACGTGCACTTCCAACCAAAATATGGAGGGGGGGGGGCTCAAAACCGACGACAACTTCATTGTTCCCCCTAAGGGAGGGGGCGAAAAAAACAACGACGGCACTCAGAACGAGATCAAACAGACTATTTAAAACGTTGAGGCATAGGGGTACGGCGAAGACGAGAATGAGGGTCAGAGGGATGGGCCCCTCAAGGGTTCACTTGGGTCCCCCACCCGGGGCGGCCAGATCTACTTGCGCACCACTGTTGCTGCCACTATGACGGCGACTACTGCCACGCAGTTTGCAACGTGCACTCAAACAGACACGACCCAGTCATGCAACGTGGTGTCTTGTCATGCCACCAAATCCCATTTCGTGCGGACCCTGTCGTAATGTTCGATCTCCCCAGTCCTCGGGCTCCTCCTCGCTGTCCTCGGTGGACTCCACAAACGGACGAGGAAGAAGAGTAGGCGGAGCACGACGAGGATTCAGAGGAGAAAGAAGAAATCATGAGAGGCAGGGGAGAGGAAGGAGGAAGCGCAGGACAATGATAAGCACACGAGAAATGAGGAGGATATCAAGAGACAGAGAGAGAGAGAGAAACAAAAAAAGAGGAGGGGAAAGAGAGAGAGAGAGGGATATAGAGAGAACGAGAGAGAGAGGGATGGAGAGAAAGAGAGAGAGAGAGAGAGAAAAAAAAAGAGAGCGAGAGAAAGCTGGCGGCAAGGAGGGGAGGCAGCGTGTGTGAACTTGTCACGTCCCGCTGTCCTCGTCGGACATGGTGAAGTGCTGCGTCCTTACAAGCGCGCCACCGGATTGATCAACGGTCCACGGCCCATGTCGGGGCCCGACCCACGGATCAATATCGGGTTCCTCTTCCTCATCGTCCCTCCTGCACTCCTCGGTGCCAAGAATGACCTCGCCACTGTTGATGCATCTCTTCATGCTTCCCTCCGTGATCATTAGAACAACTCCCCCTGCGAACGTGGCCGAAACTCTTGGGTCAAAATGCGGCCCTGGGAGACAGGAGGTCGCCCGCAATTTCGACCCCGCTCTGTCGCCCGACATCTCCCTGCCCAAAGGTATGCCCCATCATGGGGCCGCTCGCCCTGGAGCTGGCGGCCTCCCTCACGGGCGGCGTTCAGCAGAAGCTGTGCTTGCCTGGACGGTACCCCCTGCCGGTGGACAGGCGCCGACGTGCGCCCCTCGTGCCTGGGGCTGGGATGCCCATCCCTGCCGATGGGCACGAGGAGGAGGAGGAGGAGGAGGAGGAGGAGAAGGAGGAGGAGGAGGAGGAGGAGGAGGAGGAGGAGGAGGAGGAGGGAGGAGGGAGGAGGAGGAGGAGGAGGGAGGAGGAGGAGGAGGAGAGGAGGGAGGAGGAGGGAGGTGGAGGAGGAGGAGGAGGAGGAGGAGGAGGAGGAGGAGGAGGAGGAGGAGGAGGAGGAGGGAGAGGAGGGAGGGGAGGAGGAGGAGGAGGAGGAGGAGGAGGAGGAGGAGGAGGAGGAGGAGGAGGAGGAGGAGGAGGAGGGGGAGGAGGAGGAAGAGGGGGGCATGGGCATCCCATCCTCGCAGCGAGGGTTTCGCGGAGCACGTGGAAGTTTGGACCGCCTCGGTGGCCGCGAGGCGAGGCGGTCGCCCTGCCGATTGCGGGCGCTGCAGCTCTTCGCCACCGGCGGCGCTCCGCAGGCACCGCGCTGGCCCGGATGCCCAAATCTGCCGTGGATTTTTCTCGCAAAACAAAAAATAATGCTTGAGTATCTTAGTGCTTCCTGTCGACGGACAGGCATGGGCAGCCGCTCCCCGGGCCTGGCGCTCGGGTGCCCGGCCACGCTGAGGCACAGGCACGGGCGCTCCGCCCTGGCCGAGGGCCCTCTCGCTGGGCACGGGGGAACTGCGGGCCGCCCCGGGTGGCCACGAGCACGGCGGCCTCAACCCTGCAGGCGCGGTGGCTTCGCCGCTGGCGGCGCTCAGCAGGCACCGTGCCGGTCTGGATGCCCACCTCTGTCGATGGACAGGCATGGGCATCCCGTCCTTGCTAAGATTAGGTCGGGCCTGCCCCCCTGCAGGCCGTTTTTCGAGGACAAATGAAAGATAGTCGAAACATCCTCAAGCATGGTAAAAAAATGCTTTCAACATAGCCCCCAGACTATGTTTGGACTATTTTTGCATATTCCCCCTGTAGGGGGACAGGCACAACTCAATACTAAGAGGACTTTGCTGGGCACGAAACATCTCGGTCCGCCCCAATGGCCGTGAGACGGCCACACTGCCGTTGCGGGCAGAGCAGCTTCGCCGCTGACCTTCGTGCAGTGAGTACCCGTGCTGGCCTGGATGCCCATCCCCGTCGACGGGCGGGCACGTTCACGGGCGTCCACTCCTCGCGCCGAAGGCTGGGATGCCCGTCCCTGTTCACTCTGCTGTCCCTGTTAACTTGCACTAAAACGCAACCAGAAGGGTAGAAGTAAGAAGCAAGAATCGTCCCAGCAAGACCAGGCGCAAAAGGCCTCAGATCCATGCCCGTCCCTGTTTATGGACAGGCAGCGGCATCCCGCCCTCGCGAAGGGAATTTCGCTCGGCACTGGTGATTTCGGTTCGCTGCAGTGGCCGTGAGATGGCCACAAGGCCGTTGCGGCCGCGGCAGCCTCCGACGGTATCTTCGTGGTGCGTGCGAGCACGAACCTAGCGGAATCCCAGTTGAAGATGGTGGAAGTACATTTGTGGGGATCGATTATCGGGGCCTTCTATTTGTGCCACCCTGTGTGGCCCAAGGGATCCTGGAGGGACCGCTTTGCGGGATTAGTTTGTCCCTCGCGCGCGCCGTCTCCGTGACAGTCTGGTTTCGTCTCTGCGAGGGAGGCAGGGTTGTCCTGCCCATCGTGTCATCTGTAATCGACTCTCACAGCACGTGAGGGCTGGTTTCGTGGCTGTCCCCTGCTCTGCCCAAGACCCTTACCAACTCTGAAACATGCGCCGTCCAAAACATGATGTTCAGAACATCTCACGGGCTGGTTTCGTGGCGCTCTCCGGAAAGATTCCGTGACCTCACGGGCGGGCGACCTCAATACGTGGCAGGGAGCAGAAAACTATCTCGTGTAGCGCTGGGGAGAGCACAAGTCTACGGTCGTCGAGGACGCCACGCTGTCTGCACTCGCACAGCGTCGTGGACACGACGGACGGGCACGCCCGACCCAGAAAATCACGAACGCCTGCATCCGGCCAGGCGCCGTGGAGGGGGTCTTGGAGCCCTCTTGGGCCGTCTGGAACCGCTCCGGGAGCCCTCTTGGAGCGTCTTGGGCCCGTCTTGGGCCCCCCTCGGGCCGCCCTGGGCTCATCTTGTGGCCTTCTTGGGCGCCTGTTGGGCTATGTTGGGGCGATCTTCGGGGCCCCTTCGGCCGTCTCGAGCGCTCTGGAGAGCGAGAAGCCGAGCACGCGAGAATGGCAACGAAATCTGAGGCAGACCTGTAATTTTGGCCGACTTCGGGCCGCCCTGGGCCATCTGTGGAGCCCATTAGGCCGTCGAGTGGTTATATTGGGCCGTTCTTGGGCCATCTTGGGCCCATCGTGGCCGTCTTGGGCCGTTCGTCGGGCTCTTCAGAAGCCTCCTGGGGCCCCCTGGGGCCGTTGGACCCTCCCGGGGCGCTCGGGAATCAGCCTCCCCGGCCGCACCTGAAGCTGTACCAGATCAGTTTTCTATGCATGTAGGTACTCACTGTATGAGCACAACTATACATACTTATATTTACACGTATACACATGTATATACGTATATACGGTGGGGGCATTGGACAAGGAACCCTTAGATAAGGAATCCACGGTCTGGAAGCTGGTGGAACTCGAATCGTTGATCAGCCATGGATATTATCGCCACCCTCATCAGATAAGGAACTCTCCAGGGTCTAAAGCCTCCTGGGCACATTGCTTGACGAACGCCCCCACCGTGCGTAGTGCTCGAAGGCCAAGAGGAAGGCCCCCGGGCCCCCCAGCACCCCCGCCATGTTCTGTCTCCGAGTGGCTCCCGAGTTTCTGTTTCGTCTTGCTCAGCGCATCTTTTGAACAATAACAATAATAAGAAGAAGAGGAAGAAGGGGGTACCCATCGGTCGGAAGAAGTAGGTCGAAACATGAAGTAGGAAGGCGTTGGAAATAGATTGGGTTTCCGCCCGCCTCCTGAAGAGGAGGGAAGAGGGAAACCCACTCGACTCTTGAAGTAGGAAGGCGCTCAAAGTAGATTGGAATCTGGGAATCCAAAAATACCTACTTTCAACGACCGATGGGTAAGCTGATGGGGGCTCTGCGAGGCAAGCTCGCGCGACAACGCTCGGCATCGCACAACATCTCGGGCAGCCGCGCAGCGCTCCGCAGATGGGGCGAAGAAGAAAGGAGGAGGACCAGGAGGACCAGGAGGAGGAGGAGGAGGAGGAGGAGGAGGAGGAGGAGGAGCAGGACGCGGCGGAGGAGGGCGAGGAGGAGGACGCGGCGGAGGAGGAGGAAG